GAGCTGGCGAGCAGGCGGGCTTGCGAGCGTGCCAGCTGGCGAGCAGGCGAGTTGGCAGGCTGGCGAGTAGGCGAACAGACGGGCTGGCGAGCAGGCGGGCTGGCGGGCAAGCGAGCAAGTGAGGAGGCGGGCAGGAGAGCGGGCGAGCAGGCGAGCGTGCGAGCTGGCGAGCGTGCAGGCTGGCGGGCTGGCGAGCAGGTGGGCTGGCGCGAGGTGGGACGGCTACGAACTAAGGCGCTGGTGGGCGCGGGCTGGCTAGTGAGCTGGCTAGCGAGCTGGCTAACGGGCTGGCTAGCTAGCTGGAGCGTTGGCTGGCGAGCTCGCTAGCATGCTGGCTGGCGGCTGGCTTGCTGACTACAGCACGAACAAATTGAACACTACGAGGGGGGGCTTGAGGCTACGAAGCGCGGAGTTGGAGGGCAGGGGGGTGCGCGAAATGGAAAGAGTATCACATGCGGAAAAAAAAAAAAAACAAAACAAAAACAAAAACAAAAACCAAAAAAAAAAACAAACAAACTAGCTCAATACCATGTTAGAGCGGGGGGAAAATTTATGGACTAAGGGAAAATGTCTAGGGATATAAAACTAGGGCTGTACTCGCTAAGAACTAAACCAGATAGGCTATAAAAAAATATGACCTAACTAATCTATATAAATATATTTATTGACAACATGAACCATGGAAATCTGGTACAAAATCTCAGGGAATGCATTCGCGTAAAACTGCGAAGTAACACACCCACGACCAGGGCCTCATATGTCAAGCCAAAAGGGCATAAAAGCCTGTATATCAAGGTGTTTTCCAGGGGTCGGCCTGATTTTTCAGCTTTTGTTTTTCACTTGTCCTGATTTTAAGGGGTTCCCATTTTGGTAGGCTTGTTTTTTAGTATGTTCTTGTTTTGTGTACCCTGATCAATCATCCTTAACGAGTTTTCGGCCTCAAACAGAACCCCCCGCCACCCCCCCCCCCCCCCTCCCCCCCCTCTCCTGGGTAGTCACGCCTGGAATGGGGTCGGAACTCTGAATGTTGGAGCACGTGTGAGGGGCGTGAATGGTCCTTGACCAAAATCACGGATCGAAGTGGAGTCGCGATAGAACACGTAAGAGGAGAGTTTTGTGGTCATTGGCCAAATTTACCTGCAGCACTGAGGTTGTACTGGGAGGGACATGTGTCTCTTGCATGATTAGTCCTTGACTTAGTTCTTATACAGGTAAAATACAGTACAACCAATCAGCGGTGGAGCTGTGGTATTTCTGCCACCGTCACAAGCTCCGGCAAGAATTCATATGTACTGTACTTTATTGCCATCACACCGTCATGCGTGCTGGCATGACGCATCGCGAGGGCTCACGGTTGATAGGTAAATGTTTGGAGTTTTGTCAAAATTCCATCATATTCCTAGATGTTCTCGGAATTTCCTAATATAGCCTCGACGGCGTCACACCATTTCCCATATATCCTGGGTAGATTTCGAAACCAGTCGGATATAATATTGATTTCGAGCCCCATACTAAAACCTGTAAGCATTCCAGACAGAAACTTGGAACTAAACCGACTGGGAAGCGCGAGAGAATGCAGACAAATCTGAAATGTTTTCGGATGGCCCCTGAAGCTGCAGGATATCGAAAAACCAATCGTGAGCCCCAAGAGCAGGGTACATGAGACGGTTATCTAGGGTCAGGAGCTAGGATCGCGACCTCAGGATCAAGTGTTCACGGGTTGCAAAGAGATTTAGTGCGGTGACAAAAGTATTCCAAAGGGTGTCAGTTCGATGAAGCGTAATAATTGCGCTATCATTACACCGTGACCCTGCTATGATCCTGACCCTTGCCCACATGTACCCCCCTCTAAATCAGGCGTTTCCCCCACACCGTCCCAAAACAGGCTTACCCAAAGCATAGGCCCGATTCGTCAGATTTCAAAAATTTTAGGCCTGACAAAATGTGCCACAGCCAGACCCCGACCCTGAAAACTATGGGCATTCACAAGGGCGACCCTGAGTCATCAGCCCTCCCTACACCAATCTGAGGGCCTGCCCACGACTCCCCTTCTGTACCAATGCCTGTAATATTGTAGGCCAACCTCAAAGCACTAAATTGAGAAAGCTTGCTTCTTGTTACTGTAGTGCAATTGGCATCGTTCTCATTTCACGGGGCTGAGCTGAGACATGGGCAGGGACGTTCACCAGTGGCGCGCGAGCGCTTGAGAATGTTGTGCAGGTGACAACGCCGACGTAAGGGTCTGTACCTCGCAGGAGACCGACACTAGTTGGTCGCCAGCGGGTGTGACGTACATCTCTTTTGCCTTGTCACTGCGCCATGCGCCAAGACGTTTGAAAAACCGGTCCGCTACGCCTCCATGGGCGGCGACAGTCGCGGCACCTTTGCGGAATGAGTGGGTGCCGAGATGGTGTTCGCCGAGGCCAATGGTGTGAAATGCCTCCTTGCACCAATTGTGTATTGTGGGGTATGATGGTGGCTTGCTGGTGACGGCACCACCTGGTGCAGTCCTGAACACTCGGATTAAGGGTCCCGGGGTGCTGAGCTTGTAGCCCGCCAAACGGATGAAGCACTTGGTGCACCGCACAGAGCAAAGGGGTCCTGGAACTGCGGCAACTGGAATCCAAGCGCCTTGGCCTGCCTGGTCCGTTTTGGAGCACAGGATGAGCAGCCACATCACGTCGTCCTCGAACTGAATGTCCTCCCAGTTGATGGCCACGAGGTCGGAGTAGCGCAGAAATCCCGCGTACATGAGGAGTGGAATGAGACCTTTCTAAAATGTAGCTGTGTCTTCAACGCTCATAAAATGAGAAGCCATCGCGTGCACTTGGTGCAGAGAGACCGGTTCCTTGGTTTGGTTGGGTCGGAGGCATCGTCGCTTTGCAAACTCTCTAACTTGTGTCGTGAAGGGCAAGGTGCCCCAATCATGCTGTGTGCAAAGCTGACGGCGGAGCAGTTAAGTTGGATCACCAAAAGAGTGGCCTTATTTCGAATGGCGTAGGCGAGGTACAGGGTTTGCGTCATGTCCAACGATGGCAGGAACGACAAAGTAGCCTTGGTGTAGAAGGAACGAGACTGCTGCCAATAAGGTTCGTAAGTTCGGATTGTAGAGTCTGCACGTGTTTGTGCCATGACGGAGAGCAGTTGGCGTTGCAGGGTTGGAATGAGGTCTGGTTGGTAGACGCAGAGGGAGATGCATTAGGGTAACAGGACTTGCAGAGCGAGCATGAGGCTATTAGCAGACCGGAGCCGGAAAAGGCGCTAGTATGAGAGCCTGGCGTTAGGCTTTGGCTACCGTGCGTGAGTTGGATGTGAGATTTGGTGTGGCAAGCCCAGGCGGGAGGTGAGGGTTAGAGGAGCGGCCACTAGATAGCGTCGGGCCAGTGGGGAACGACGAGAGTAAGAGATGCGCATGTGCGTTGTGCATGGTGGAGGACTGCGGAGATTAAATGGGGTGGTGGGAAGGCGAAATCGTGTTCGTTCGTCCAAGAAATCGTGAAGGCGTACATCGTTTTGGCTGTGGGGTGTGGGTGTTCAGAGCAGAAACAACTCAGCTTGACATTGCTAGCGTTGACGAAGAGGTCTATGGAGTGGGGGCCTAAGCGCCGTTCCAGAAGGTTGAACCACGACGTCTTCAATGTGTTATCATTGTGATCGAGTATTTTCGAGAGTTCGTCCACGTGCGTGTTGAGTTTGCGAGGGATCGATTCCATGGTGAGGCGGACACCGTAGGTAGTACACAGGCGGATGATCGATTTGCAGGCGAGGGTGAGATCAGGGCTGCATGGGCCACCCTTCTTCAAGATGAAGAAAACTCCCTGATTGTCCACGCGCACGAGCACGTCTTTGTTCAGGAGTAGGTCGCCATATGTCTGCAATGCCCACAGTACCCCTTCGAACTCGCGACGAGTGCTGGAAGTGTGTCGCAAATCGACTGGCATGTTTATGCTAGCTTGACGAATGTTGCCGGAGAATGTGTCAAGAGTGCCCCCCCAGCCGTGACCGCTTGCACCGACGTAAATGATAGCATCGTAGCAGCATCGCACGGGAAAGGGCGCTCCATTGAAGTGGCCAAACTCAGTTGACCAGAATTCCAGCTCCTCGCAAGCGAAAGGCGACAGCAGGAATTTGTTGTTCCATGTAGAAGCGTCATTAATGATCTGCAATAGCGCGTGGCTGAAAGCCTGAGCAGTGGCCCTGAGTGCGAACGTCATTGATGCGAGAATGCCTGTAACACGCGTGACATGCCGGACAGGGACCTTAGACTGGTTGCGTTTATCTTCCAAGAGCGACTGATGGTAGGTTGTAGGGAGTTGCGTTGTTCCGAACCCATTGAGAATTGGCCGAGTTTGGTGTCAAGTTCCAAACCCAGAAAGTGCAGATGTTGGGTAGGACGAAGTTGGGATTTCTTTGCGTTGATCACCAGGCCAGCGCTGCGTAAATCACCAATGATTTGGGTGCAGGTGCCCAGAGCGTTGGCTTCAGAATGACAAAGGAAGAGGATGTCAACCACATGCGGTATGACCCGCATTCCCTTCAATTCTCCAGCGTCGTACAAGCTGTTTGATTAACTATATGAAGATGAAAGGAGCTATAGCCAATCCAAACGGAAGGGAGTGGAAACAATATGAGCGTCCTTCGAATTGGAAACCCAAGAATTTCCTGGATGACGGGTGAATCTTGACGTGATGATACCCGGACTTCAGGTCGATTAAGAACATCCAGTCTTCCGCGCGAAGTCATCATGCCGAGAGGAGAGGCGTCGAGGAACTCTAGAAACGAGGAGGAGACTAGTGGGAGGTATAGGTGCTAGAGGAGTACAATTGGAGGTAATAGCAGTGGCGACTGTGGCCGGAGAAGTGGCAGCGAGCATAAGGCTAGTAGCAGCAGTGGCTAGTGACGGTAAGATGGCAGTAGCGGCTAGCTGACGGCTGGCGGTAGGCTAGGAGCTGCTAGGAGGAGTGGGGAGCAAACGAGGAGGAAGTACGCGTGAGAGGGTCTACTAGGAGCAGTACGTCAAGAAGCTAGCTAGGAGGCACTAGGACTGTCGGCACAGGACGAAAGGCACGAGGGACTCACGTGGCAGACGGCCGACTGGCGACTGGCGGCCGGCTGCCATCTCTCTTTCTCTCTCTCTCTCTCTCTCTCTCTCTCTCTCTCTCTCTCTCTCTCTCTCTCTCTCTCTCTCTCTCTCTCTCTCTCTCTCTCTCTTTGTCTCCCCCTCTCTCTTTCTCCCACTCTCTCTCTCTCTCTCTCACTCTCTCTCTCTCTCTCTCTCTCTCTCTCTCTCTCTCTCTCTCTCTCTCTCTCTCTCTCTCTCTCTCTCTCTCTCTCTCTCTCTCCCTCTCTCTCTCTCTCACCCTCTCTCTCTCTCTCTCTCTCTCTCTCCCTCTCTCTCTCTCTCTTTCTCTCTCTCTCTCTCTCTCTCTCTCTCTCTCTCTCTCTCTCTCTCTCTCTCTCTCTCTCTCTCACCCTCTCTCTCTCTCTCTCTCTCTCTCTCTCTCTCTCTCTCTCTCTCTCTCTCTCTCTCTCTCTCTCCCCCTCTCTCTCTCTCTCTCTCTCTCTCTCTCTCTCTCTCTCTCTCTCTCTCTCTCTCTCTCTCTCTCTCTCTCTCTCGCTCTCTCTCTTCCTCCCTTGCCCGTTCTCGCTTTCGCTCTTACCCCGCATGGTCCTAACCATATTTTTCGCTTTCGTTCTCGTGCCTGCACAGATGGGCAAGCTTCACAACACATGCCTCCAGAGGTCGCTCCGGCGTAATACAAATGGCAAAAGGTTTTCGAGGGCAGGGGGTTGGTTGCATGCCTCGTTTCTCACCTCATTATCCGAGCTATGCTTGCTTTATAAACTTTGGGCGATGCCGCCGATCGCCGTGCTTGCTTTTGTTGAGAGAGACATTTTTGCTATTGATCGTGAGTAATGGCGTGAGAGCCATGGTGGGCTGGCAGCTCCAGGGGCTTGAATTATTTCCATATAAAGAATGGCAATGCCTCGAAACAAAGGCGTGGCACCCATTGCAAGGGCCTTGGGAAAGGAGCATTCTCGTACACGTTTTCAGAAACTTTTTATATGAAAAATGTCAATGTATCTTGGTTTGCCCACCACATGAGCTTCTAGAGTGGGCCTGTACATCTTGGCCTTCCCCCCGCCGAGGTTGTATCACATAAAAAAACAACAAAAAGGAGAACCGGCACCTCAAAGGGCTGCCACTACTAAGGCTCCTAAGTCCAAGCACTTCCCCCTCTTGGGGCTAGGCCCTTGGCTAACATTCTTCCCCACCTAGGGTCTAGCCAGCAGCCTTAGAATCTACTCCCCCCGTGGGGATGGCCAGCAGCCCTACGCACCAAACGGTGCTGTGGCACCTATTCCAAGGTCCACAATTAACATGATTTTACTTCTGACACCACTGGTGCGGGCCCTTGGGGTCCGTGCCCATTGGCTGAGCAGTTGTTAGCCGTATGGCTCGACTGGCCACAACGGAAACAGGCGCCTCGGAAGCCCCGCTGGTCGCCACTTGGTGGTGGGCCGAACTTCCCTCCGAAACCCATAGGGTCGTGGCCTCCAACGGGGTTGCCGCGACCATAGGCGCCTTGTGCACGTTTCATGGCCGCCACGTCCGCGACCGCCTACTTGAAGGGGCATGTAGTGAGAACACTCTTCTCCTGATAAAGCTTGAATCAATACGCCGTCTTGAAGTTTGAGGCGTCGTCGACTTGAAAACGCTCAAACCGCTTGGTGAGAAGTGCGTACGCCGTGTCGAAAATTTTTTGCACGCCCGAGTTGTCGCCGTGGCGCACCTTGTGCTTTGCATGCTTCAGGTACGCACGCATGGCTTCTAGGAACTCCGCTTGTTCACGCACTCTTGCGTTGGCGAAGGAAGAGGCCGGGATGGTTGGGTTAGAGGAAGGAAGGGGTGGGAGGTGCTCGATGGGTGCGAAAGAAATATTATGTGCGGGAGCCTCACCAGCCTCGTCTTCGGAGTCACTGTCGTTGTTGGCCTGGTCTGAGGCTGCGGGGACGACTTCCTTGTCGCCGCGGGCGACCTTGGGAGAGCGAGCGTGGCGCGTTGACTCCTTTTTGTTTCTTCATTTTTAGTCGAAGTAGAAATCGTATTCGCAGTTGCTGTAACCACGGGTGTTCGCTGCTGTAATAGCGCCAGCATCGCTGTAAGGAATTAAGATTCCTTACTGGGGCTCGCCACAGCGAGTACACGCGAACAATGCATGTCCACAGGCTCGACCCTTGGTTATCGCACCAAACCAGCCCCCGTCGACCTTTTCGGCCCCAACCTGATCCCGAGTCACCCCGAACCCATTTTGACCCCGTCACCCTCGGGACTAACGAGCCCTTGACTGGTCCAACCCTCGACATTCAACCTGGTCAACTCGCACTATATAAGCGCTAGGTCTCATTTGGATAGGACACATTGTAATCACGTTCCCCTTATAGTATTCTGCGCTATACTCTGAGCTATAATTCATAACAGGTGGTATCAGAGCTACGTCTTGCCCATTAGGCTTCCGGTAGTGGAGCAGACCCTATCGGGAAAGGGGGCGGAAGGATGCTGATGGCGAGCGGAGATCGCAGAAATTAATTGCACGGGCGTTGCCGATGCCGTCAGATCCTGCCCGATGGACGGCTGGGATTGGCCGGTCCTCCCCTTCCCTGGTCATAGACAGAATTATTTCCTGTCGAAGAGCGGACGACGGTTTTGCCATGTTTTTCGAGTATGCTCGTTAAAGCTTTCGTAATTTTCGGGTGTTCAGACGGAGTCTTTGGATTGGCTTCCGAAAAAAAGCGAAGGCTTCGTCAGGAGAAGACAAGTACACGGGAGTCCTCAGGCGGCCGGGAGTTGGTCGTCAGGAGCGCGCGGTGTGGCGAAAATGGCGAGATGTACGACGATGTACGTCTGGCACGCCATGCAGTGGCAGGGTGAACTGTAGCTGTGTCGCGGGTCCCGGCGTTTCCGGCAGGCTAGTTGCAGGTGATGGATGGGACTTCAATACTATTTCGGCAATGGGCATATCCAACAATTTCGGAACAACACGATCGCACGAGGACGCGTGGGTGTGCAGCTGTATTGGAGTAGCTAGGATTAACGTCCTCAGCGCTATTCACCACGACGGCCATCTGGAGGAGATGACGTTGTGCTGGAGTGAGTGTACTCAGCGAGGGCGACTTCCCGCGTGGGGAGGCGTTTTTCGTGGACCAGCGATTCATACCCCCACGATCAACGAAAACGGAGGCCACCACCCCTGGGTGTGTATTAAGTGTTTTTCCATTGGTCGCCGAATGCGTTAACTGTCAAGAGTTGAAGAGAAGAATGACGAGAGTACTGGAGCAGATGGGTTAACGGCGTTTGGGCTGCTACTCGCTCAACTACGTCGCCCGGAAATCACCATTCCCACCAGGTAGCAGTGTCGACTTATTAATCGACGGCTTCTGGCTGAATAAGGGGGGGAACCTGCAAACTACACTGTGCTGATGGAGTGTCCTCGAAATTTTAGGAGTTACTGTTGCAGTGGAGCAGAGAGTTTTCACCTGGTGCAGCAGAAGGAGGTTCCGACTTTTGCGGGTGTAGTTTGACGAGTTTCCGACACAGGAGGGAGCTGTCCAGCGGTCAGTATGCGAGCTCGTTAAAGCTCCTCTGACTAGAAGCGTGCGCGGTCCTATCTCTGCAGATTCTCCTTGTTAGTTAAACAACAGTGAAGCGGTTTTGGGTAACCTACAGCAGCCGCGAGATGGGTGAACGTCTGCATGGCCAACTGGACAGGGGTACCGGAGTATTTTACAGTTGGGTAACAGCTGGGCGGAGATCGATGGCATATGATGCGCATTGACCATGATCGACGGCCAAAACATCATGCCGAGGCGGTGGACTCCGATAAACCCTAAGCTAAAGGGTTCAGCTCATGCGTACAGCTGGTGGAGAAACCGTGGGGGCGCTGCTAAAGGACGCCGTGACACCTGGGCATTTTTACGGTTGGTTGTAAAGCGGAGTTACGGTATTTACTAAGTATCAAGTGGTTCCGACATTTTATGTGAGCTTGAGGAGCAGTTCGAGCATTTTAAGCTGAAGTTGTGCCCGCTATCTTCAGAGTTACAAGCGACATCGACCGATATTCTCGGAATATTTTGGTTGCATAGAGGAGGAGAAGCGCAGCAGCAGTTTCGGCTATTCCCGAAATTTTTGGCGTGTACGGACAAAGCAGCTAATGCAGCTGGCATCATTTGACACCTGGCTGTGTTCGAGGATATTCATGGGAGTGGTTTGGTACAGGTTACAAGTCATCGCCATCGTCGTCCACATCTCACCATCACTCGCTACAACCTCCATTCTTCACACACCTTATTGTGTGAACACGACCCCGCCTCGCCATTCGAATCTACAGCAGCAGTATTAAAACACGAAGATTTTGCAGCAGTACTGTGCAGCTGTGTTGGGGCCAACTCGCACGCAGTGTTTTGACCTTTGAAGAAATTAAAAGTTCGTGTGGGAGTCTTCTGGAGCAGTAGATGCGGAATTTTTAGACTTTCAACGCGGTTTACCCTGAAGACACTTTACCTGGAGCGGAGTTTTGCAGCGGCATATTGGAAGCTGAGTATCAGAATTTTCAGCAGCGCCTACCCTGGAGCATTGGGGTTTCTTGGAGTTTTACCTGGGAAATTGGGCGTTGTTTTCTCTTGAAGGGGGGGAGAAGTGCAGCTGTGCTGCAATTTTTCGTCAGACCTTGCGGCGTGTTCCATCATCCGTCTTCGAGCATCATTCGTCACCGTTATGCTTCCGCACCTGATTTCGTTACTTCGTTTATGGAATTTGCTGGCTTTCGTGGGACACGGACGCGTGCTCTCGCATGTGACTCGGACGACCTCGCGTTTGATGAACGAGTTCTTCATTTCATCGACCAGCACGTTCTTCGCCCGTCATCATTTCAAGAAATTCAGCTGCCATGTGCCATCATCAATCGACCACTCGACGGTTTCATTGTTCATTGTCTTCTGCTGGAGTATTTACCCTTGCCCATTTGGTCAGTGGAAGAATTCGATCATCTTCGACGGCCAAGATTAAAAGCGATCGTTTCGACGCTTTCTGGCCATCGATTGCAGTTCGACCTCAAGACCTCGTCAGGCCGGCATGATCACTACGCTCGTTACAGGGCTGAAGACTTACTGTCACTTTGGGGATTAACTTAGATAAAAGGTTCGACCTCGATAAAGGGAGTGCCCTCCTTTAGAAGGTGGGAAAGTGTAAGGAACTACGATTCCTTACTGGGGCTCGCCACAGCTAGTACACGCGAACGGTGCGCGTCCGCAGGCTCGGCCCTTGGTTATCGCTCCAAGCCAGCCCCCGTCAACCTTTTCAGCCCAAACCTGATCCCGAGTCGCCCCAAACCCATTTTGACCCCGTCACCCTCGGGACTATCGAGCCCTTGACTGGTCCAACCCTCGACATTCAACCTGGTCAACTCGCACTATATAAGCCCTAGGTCTCATTTGGATAGGACACATTGTAACCACGTTCCCCTTAAAGTATTCTGCGCTATACTCTGAGTTATAACTCATAACAATCGCCTAGACTTGGTTGGCGGTCAAGGCGGGGGCGGCAGATTGTGGTGCGCTCGACGCGGCCGCCCCGCGGCCTCGCTTATTGTAACACGAGGAGCCCACCCGTCGGTTCGGCGCTTTCTCGGCGCTGACATCAGCGGGTGGCGCGCCAGCTGCCACTTGCGGC